GGGGGGCGGGGTCCAGAGCACTTCTGTGTACAGCAAGGTGGGACAGGGACTGGGGAGGGGGCCAGCATCCCTCCCTCCACACCACAGCGACTGCTATCGGGTGGTGACATGAGCGCCAGGTGACATGAAGCAGCATCTCAGGCACCAGCTTCACGATAACTGAAGGCTTCAGCATTCCCCATGAGCAGCCCTGGGAGGCGGGGAGAGACGGAGCAAACTCACAGGGCAGTGAAGGGTACATTTTCAACCCCTTTTCCAGGTTTAGGAAAGCCATGAAAGAAAATTCCGGCTTTAGGGGGTTAAAAAAAAAAAATTATGCCCATTAATTGTTGCTGACCTTGTCTGGCAGGATTAGCTGGCCATACCTGTACAGCCACGGGGCCCAGCTCCAGGGCATGGGGAAGCAGGCCCAGCCCAGGAAAACAAAAGGCCACAGTGGGGAATGGACAAGGCCACCGACAGAAGTGACTCTGGAGAAGTTCTCAATCTCCCCCTTGAGGGACGGTGACACCGTGTTTACTGCGCATCTGATTTACTTGCCAAGGCAAAACTCCAGAAAAAAGCGAGCCTGGGACCGTGCAGGGCTTCCCACCGCTGCGATCCCTGCCGGGCTCATTGTAAAGTAATGAATTTTGTGGACACTCTGCAGAGGAAAAACAGCTTCCAATGCTAGGGATCGATGGTGCGTACCGCAGAGACACAGCTCTCAGCTTCCTCAAGCTACGTCTGGGAATTACCCAGAGTTCAGTGGCAATCTGTCCCTTGGAAGGCCAGATAAGAAGTCAGCCCCAGGCCTCAGCAGGTCCCACGGTCCCACAATCTAACCACTGGAGATGCCCTGGCCCAAGCATTCCTGTCATAGCTGAATCAAGCGTCTCCTGCTCTAGGGTATGCGGTTGGGGGAGGGGCCACAGAATGTCACCAACGACCCAATCATGTTCAGCAGGGTTCCTCTGGGTTTGAGGGCAATGTGTGTTGTGGGTACAGATATTTGATATTATAATTTCCTTTCTAGGGATGAATTCTCTATATACCAACTTAAAAAAAAAGGAAAAACAGATAATCCTTTAAATCTCTTCTCAGCTCCAAGACTGTGTAATTCCAGGAATTGAACCGTGTGACTCAAAGCACCTGTGTTTCCCTAACTTGCACACTCCTCTATGCCAGGAAGAGGCACTCCCTTAAGTGTTGGGAGGGGGAAAAAAAAAAACTGCAGAATCACGATCTCAGGATCAAAACAACACAGAAACCATAGAAAGCCAGGATGAAGCGCATCCTGGAAGGATCTGACTGGAATTAGAAGCAGCACTTAAAACTGCAGGGTTTAGGAAAGGTTGGACAGAATCCAGAGCCGAGGTTATCCCTGCGCCTGCAGATTCTGCCTTCTCTGAAGGTGGGCAGCCCAGTCTGGAGGTGATGCCCATGGCCGTGGCAAGGCCGCCATGCTACGGAGGCGAACCTAAAGGCTCGAGAGCAGATCAGCTCCGCAGATGTGGGCAGTTCACAAAGGGTTAAAAACGGTGGAGGCCATACACAGAAAGCAGGCGGG